CCAAAAGACAAGACGCAGGTTAGAGCATTTTTGGGTTTGTGCTCCTATTACCGGCGATTCGTGAAGAACTTTGCAGATATAGCCAAACCTCTGCACAAGCTAACCGAGGAGAAGCGACATTTCTGCTGGGATGAAAGTTGCAATATCGCATTCCAGGAGCTCAAGGACCGTCTGTGCAAAACACCTATTTTGGGATACCCTGATGCAAGCAAAGAATTTATAGTTGACACAGACGCAAGTGATATAGGACTCGGCGGTGTGTTGTCTCAACGGAATGGTGACCAAGAGGTCGTGATAGCGTACTTCAGCAAGTCGTTGTCAAAACCGGAAAGGAACTACTGTGTCACAAGACGCGAATTGCTAGCTGTGGTAAAGTCGTTGCAACATTTTAGCAAATATCTTCTGGGACGAAAATTTTACTTACGAACTGACCATGCTGCACTAAAATGGCTATTGCAGTTTAAAAACCCAGAAGGACAAGTTGCGAGGTGGATTGAACTACTGCAGGAATACGACTTTGAGATCGAACATCGCAGCGGGAAATCTCATGGCAACGCAGATGCATTGTCAAGAAGACCTTGTCCTGAAGATTGCAAACATTGTACTAGGCAAGAGAGTAAGGAAGTGGTATCCGTGAGGATGCTCAGGGCAGACCACCTCAGCAACGAGTGGAAGGACAGCTTACTACATGCACAGCAGGAAGATCCGGACATCAAGCCGATTCTGGAATGGATAAAGGCCAGTGCTCCCAAGCCCAAGTGGAGTGACGTCTCAGCGATGAGTTTGACCACTAAAAGCTATTGGGCCCAGTGGGACAGCTTGCTGCTTCAGGATGGAGTTCTGTGTCGTAAATGGGAAAACGTTCGGGGAGACAGCTGTCATTTGCAAATGGTTGTCCCTAAAGTTAAAGTACCGGATGTTCTACAGCTGTACCATAATGATTGTTCAGGAGGCCATCTGGGAGTTAAACGAACTCTACTGAAGATCCGAGAACGGTTTTACTGGGTCCACTGTCGAAACGATGTCGAGGACTGGTGTCGCAAATGTACAAGTTGTGCGGCTGTAAAGGGACCTCAGACTCGTAGTAGAGGTGCATTGAAGTTGTACAATGTTGGTGCACCATGGGAGAGAATAGCCATTGACGTGGCGGGGCCGTTTCCGGAGAGTGAAAGCGGTAACAAGTATTTCATGGTTGTGATGGATTACTTCACTAAGTGGCCAGAAGTCTTCGCCATTCCAAATCAAGAAGCTTCAACAGTTGCAGATAAACTAGTTCATGAAGTCTTCTGTCGTTTTGGAGTACCTTTAGAGATTCACAGCGATCAAGGAAGGAATTTTGAGTCTCAAATATTCCAGGAAACTTGCCGAGTTATGGGTACTCATAAAACAAGAACGACTTCTTATCACCCGCAATCTGATGGAATGGTGGAACGATTTAATCAGACATTGGAGAGGTACCTAGCAAAAGTTGTAGACAATCGGCAACGAGATTGGGACAAGCACATACAACCGTTTTTGTTGTCATATCGGAGTTCTGTTCACGAAAGTACAGCAGTGACACCAGCTTTCGCAAACTTTGGAAGAGAATTACGGCTGCCTGCAGACCTGATCACCGGGATACCACCCGATGCTCCACGCAGTATAACCGATTATGCAAATGACTTGCGGAAAAAAATGAATGACGTTTATGAGCACGTCAGACAATCGGGCCAGCAAATGTCTGAAAAGATGAAAACCCGGTATGACCGCAAAATGAACAACAAAGGGTTCGACGAAGGTTCACTTGTGTGGTTGCACAATCCAGTCCGCAGCAAAGGGAAATCTCCTAAGCTTCAAGCTAAATGGGACGGCCCGTACCGGATTGTAACCAGGATCAACGATGTGACCTACCGGATACAGAAAGGCGCAAGAGGGACTCCTAAGATCGTCCATGTGGATCGCTTGGCGCGTTATTATGGGACCGATAATGCTCGGGACGAGCATGTCTTAGGAGGGGGCAGTGTTACATGAATAAGTCAACTAGCGCCATCTAGTGTCAGGAACGAGAGCGAGGGGAGCATTGAGAAAATGACATCACAAATCGCTCAACTGACAGCGCCTAGTCGAAACTCGAACGCTCGATACCTTCCGCGTGTTTACTTGAACATTCTGGATATTTCTTTGCTAATTCAAATATATAGGCGCTGCAAGATGCGATCGAGGCAGTGTTGATTTGGGCGAAACAAGCGAAGCTTCGGAGTGGAATTAAGTGAATTAATGTGTTTAAATTATTAGTGTTTTAACTTTAATTGTGTAAAGTAAATTAAAGTGTTAATTTAGGTAATTTTATCGGCAATTTTTATTGTCACGAACCTCAAGCTCATAACACTATTATTTATTTATATTTTAAAAAAAACATAAGCTTATATTTTGCCTTATGCAGAATTTTTTGCCTTAAAAAGAAATATAGCGAAGAAGCAAAAAAAATAGAGTGGCATTTTTGAAATTACTAAAAGTTCCTTCGGCAGCCAATGTGTTCATTTCGAAACTAAATTAAAAACTTATCTTTAATTGAAAATATGAAACATTTGGTGACAAAAGGAAACAGGAACTGAAAATTGAATAGTGTACTACTTTAAACTTAAAATTTCAACCATATATATATATATATATATATATATATATATATATATATATATATATATATATATATATATATATATATAGTTAAAGTACCTAATTAGGCCGTAGATGGTTTCTAATCTGAAGTTTATTAGATGTTACTTTGTGACTACTTTTAATACTTAATAAAGAAAAAATAAAGTTAATTTATTTTTTCATTGTTTTTAGTGTACCCATTGTTTTAGTAGGCAATAAAACAGATCTTCATTTAGAAAGGAAAATAAGCACAGAAGAAGGAAAAAGACTAGCGGAGAAATGGAAAGCAGCCTTTGTTGAAACTAGTGCAAAAAGAAATGAGGTAACATTGTAAAACTTGTTGCAAAAATAATTTTATTCTCTACATGTATTTTTAATTTAATGTGTCATCCTTTTTAATATTTTCAGTCAGTGACAGATATGTTCCATGCAATTTTGTCAGAAATAGAGAGATCTGATGGGCATATACAAGAAAAGAATGGATGTGTTATTTCTTAATAAATGATTATGTTAATGAACAATGCTTCTACTTAAGTAAAAGTGAATCAAACATAATGTATGTGCATGGCTATCGTGGTCGCTATAAGGGAAACATATTTAAAGTAATTTTTATGGTACCTTCAAATGAGGATACTCTCATCATAGCATTAATGTTGATTTTCAAATGTTATCAGTAGGTTTAAATATTATTTGTGATACTAAAATAATATTGATACTAATTTTTGCACATGTGTGTTCACCTCATATTGTTGTATTCATCATTTTTAGTATTGTCATGTTTTGTGATAGTTCATGATTTAAACATAAAATACAATAATGTGAAATTAAGAAGGTAATCATTATGTCTTTATTATGTTTATTTAAAGGTACCATGAGGCTTTATGTGCAATTTTGGGAAAATTGTTGTATAAAGTTGTGCAGTATAATATTTGGACTACAAGTGAAAGGAAACTGCATAACTTTACGCAGCAAAATGCAAAAAGATTAAGGGTCAGTTCATACAGAATCGCGACGCGACGCGACAATGCTTTAAGAAGCCAGTGGTTTCGCACCGCTCAACTTGCTGCCGCGAAACACCTCTCGACGTCTCGATGCACATCGTGAAGTCGCTGGCAGCGCGACGTCTAATAGTTATTAGTGGTGACAAGTCGCTACGATGCGACAGCTTCAGACTGCGCCTCGCGGCCTCTCGCTGCGTCATGCGCTGGGTATGGAGTGTAGAAGTGAGGAGTACCAACTCCCATAGTAGAACAGTTGAAAAAGTGGTCATCTGTAGGCAGTAAATAACAGCTCAAAAACTCTCCACAACAGCGCTGGAGTAGCTACTGGTATGAAATGAACTTAGCAGTTGTCGACGGTTTAAGTGTTCTGCTAAACTGCTCAGTAGCTCTAAAATCTAAAATAATTTTATTTAGTAAATATAACTTCGAAAAAGTCGTCTATCCCACTAATATTTTTCGGTGCGTTCTTTAAAATTTACCCCGTAGCTATAGTGGCGCCACCCTTATTTAATGGTTTTTATGGACACTTTTAATACACAGTCTGTAGGGGAGATCCTTGTACCTTGGGACGCTTTTCTTTAAACCTCCATAATTTAAGTTCAAATTTATCTATGCCCTTGAATGTTGAAATTTCTATTAGGTAGCCAATAACATCTTAATATGATGTAAAACACGACCTACTATGTTTTATCAATGAGAAAATGACAATTAATTACTTTAGGATATTTGTCCCAAGGTACAATCATGGCTTGTACCTCGGGACACCAATGTTTGTACCTTGGGACACATTTTTGTAAACCTAAACTGCCGCCAGATGAATATTAACTCTATCAGTTGACATACATCATATACCGGAGATTTTGATATAAATGGGCAGCTTAAATGTTTTGTTAAAGGTATTTAAAGCATTGAAAAACAAAGATAATCTTAATTTTATATTAATAAAACAACAGTCATTACAAAGCTTACTTACAATCACTTTTTAGATACTCAGGAAAATAAAAATAATAATTGTTCACAAACATTACTATTAGTTTTCTTTAGACTTGATACCGCATTTCTGACAGTAATTTTCAAAACAGGTGCAATCTTCGTGCACCCAGAATCGGCAGGTGCAACACTGAATTCAGTCTTCTGTGCTGGAAGTAGTGAAATAATTTTCACCGCAACCCACACAATTATTTTCCTCTTGATCGTCATCACATGATATCATTTTCTAAGATAACATCAGTTTAATCCTCAGAACTACTACTTTCTCTCTCAACTTTTTTCTTAAAAACGCGCTTCTTGACAGATTTGTTTTTTTTATTTACTTCTTTTATTCTTTTTTTAGCTCCAATTCCTCTTTTTCAGGAGTATCGGTTAAGACTCTTGTTTTACCTTTTCTATTTCTAGTAGGGTTCTTACGTGGTACGTTCTTAGGGCCTTTGGAAAAGGACGAATGGCTTCAGGTGACATAAGGATATTTTTGTCTGTGTCTATAGTACCAGTGGATGTAGATGGTGCTGGAGATTCTATTGCTACTTGATTATTGTCATATTGTTGTTCAATATTTGCATATTGTGATGGTCCAGGTAGAACAATATTTGGTTGTATTTCAGCCACATCCAATCTGGTGTGCGTAACGGTGTTAGCATCTACATAAGGCTTATCAGTAACATATGAGCTCAGGAATTCATCTTCGCCAAAAATATCATTAAATGGCCATATTCCTGCAACTTTAAATCCATTTTGAATGTTGGATGGCGTAAAAGCTAATGGAAAAGCAGTGCCAAAGCATTCGGCGACATTATATATAGTGAGAGGAGTTCCAGGATGTTGCAAAAGCCAATCGTTGCAAGCTTTGTTATAATATTTCTTGAGTGGACCAAATACGGTTCTGTCTAAAGGCTGTAACTTGTGGCTGGTGTGAGGAGGAAATGTGAACATTACAATATCATTATTCTTGGCCAACTCTATGATTTTAATCGAAATGTACTCTCGTGATTGCCCAATATCAGGAGCACTTTATTATCATTATTAGGTCTAACATGTTTAATGAAATGGTTCAAAAAATCCTCAAATTTATCACCATGGATCACCCACTGGGAGTTGCAAGCCCCAAAGTCTCAGGAGGAGCACCATTAATCATGTGGCTCTTAAAGTGCACTCTAGGAAAAATCATGCAAGGAGGAACCGCATTCCCAAGTGCATTCACGCATGCAATAACAGTGACATTATTACCTTTCTCTGCTGATGTAATATTCCCAACTTTTTTTACTCCTTTTGACGCTAAAACTTTCATTGGATTGTGTACTGTAGACATGCCAGATTCATCTACATTATAGATCCTTTCGCTTGTAAAATTGTATTTCAACAGCAGTTCCTTGTATTTATTAAAAACAAATTTACATTCACCTTATTAAAAGAAGTAGCACGTGCTAAACTCGTTGCTTCTGGTTTTCGCAAGCTTAAATTTTGATGCCTTTTAATAAAATATTCATAAAATGTCTTTCCAGTTTTTTATTTGTGTCCCAAGCACTTGGATAAGTTTTTTTTTCAAAATTACTGCATATTCGAATGCTAATTTTAAAAAGTCATCTTTGCATATTCCGTAGTGTATCTTGGATGCCTTTAAGCAATATTCAACCAATTGCTCTTCTTCTTCATCACTAAACACTCTCTTGACAGCATTCAGAGGGTGATAGACGACCTCAACATTTTCTTTTTCTTTGTTCAACTTCACGTAACGGCCTATTAAAGATTTTGACACATGAAATTCTTCTGCAGCTTTCCGAATAGATAAACGTTTTTCAATTACCATTTTAATTGCACTTTTTACATTTTGCTCACTTGGTTTCGGCCGTATGACTTTATCTTTACTTCGCGGCATCTAAAAACATAAAAACAAAAATAAAAATATAATATTAAAATAAATAGTTGAAAAAAGCATTGGCTTGTACCTTGGGACTGTCCCAAGGTACAAATTTCAATTATAGAATACAAAGTGTGGTTATAATTTTTGAATTACGGAAATCTAGGAAATTATATTAAAATAAGTGAAATATATAAAGTAAGTAAAGTTAAGCCTATATACTCCCACTGCTGGGCACAGGCCTCCCCCTCATTATTAAGAATATAGATAACAACTAATTGTATTTTAATTAAATTACTCACCTCAAAATATTTCGTCTAAAGCAAAGATTCAAGTGGATTGCAAAAAAAAAATCTGACGAAAAAAATCGCACTGCATACCACATCTAAGGAACGAAGCAAAATGGCCGATTGTACTGCATGCTTTCGATAATCATAGATAAATCAATGTTGTAATGAAATAGCTACAAGATGTCACTACTTACCACTTCTCAATGTAAAATATCTGACGCAATGAGCTTGTCCCGAGGTACAAGATGTCCCAAGGTACAAGGATCTCCCCTACTCCTTACTTCTACACTCCATAGCGCTGGGCCTCTAGATGCCTCGCGGCGTAGCGCGACGCCGCGGAGCAATTTTTAATTATCACAATAAAATTTGTATCTTATTATGTAGTAAATAAGGTTATATTTTGTATCATTATCTTAAAAAGTACGCGTTGCGTCGCGTCTCGTCTTTTAATTTAAGAATGCCTTACACAGACTCTTACCTCAGTGGATATTCCACTATTGCATATAGTATATTGAACAATGTATATGTTATAATTTGAAAATATTTTAGATCATACAACATTTTGTGCATTAATTATGATTTAAGATATAGATATAAAATCAGCAGTGCTTTAATTTAAATGTGCTTTAAATGGTACGTGGTGAAGAGAAGAGCTTTGTTTTTAAACATTAAGAAATATCCTTCTTCAAGCTAAGTAGCTCAGAACATACAAACTTTCATATATGTATCTAGAATACCTGTTTACTCGCTCTGAGCTGCTCACAGGCTAAATTAAAAGCAAAACTACACAGTGCATGGTTGCAGCACTATAGACCTGTAAGATTAAACTTAGTGTTAGTCATTCAAACGCACTATAGTAAAAAAAAAACACAAGATCTGGCACTAGAAGTGCTAAGTTAGTTTGGTTATCTTTTTGTGTCGCATCGCGTCACCTGCACTGCTACATAATCGTACAATGTCGCACCGGTGTTGCTCAAGCACCATCGCGCCACAACCGCAAAATATTGTGTGGCTTTAACATAAATAACTTATACTGAATGTAAAAAACTTAAGTTTGAATATTTTCTCATGTTAGTTTATTACTTATGTCATTTAGTTTGTTTATAAATAATTAATTAAAAATTACAAACTAGATAATATATTACTGGACAAATTCATTCGCCTAATCAGCCTAATAAAACCAAAATTCCGTGTGAAATGTGTCATTATTAAGTGGGAATTTTGCCATAGATGTTTTTTGCTTATATATTTAGTTAAGAAAGTATGTTGGTTGCTTATTTTATACTTTTAACGAAAAGGGTTGTAAAAATATAATTGTAGTGTTGTCTATGTGTATAGTCTATTCCTCATACGAGGTCCCGATGGACAGATGTCATATTATGAAAACTACTGAAGGACTTATTTGTGTTTGAACATGAGGATTTATATACTCTTCAGCTGTATTGTTATGTTGCAAATTTAATTTGTATGATAAAAGTCAAATAAAATGTTAATTTCTATAAATACTGTACAAATTCTGTTAATTTTTTTAAGAGAAGTGCTTATGTGTTAAATATGTTTAAAATGCAGATGCAATGTCACCCCTGAGTATATGTTTGAATGCCTCATTACCATAGTATGAAGGTTTTCCAGATCTTATAACTCACTATATTAGAAACACTTACGCTTAACACTTAAATCTGTAGGAGTATAATCCTTTTCCTGTCAAGTCGACCATTCAAATTCCTTTCACACATATCTTTCAAAGTCTACTCAGAACAAAACCTCTCCATAAACTGCCCCACAAGGGGGATATTTTCCATAGTTTCCATGATTATCGGGCGGATTGGCAGGCCCAGTTTCTGGTTTCCCTTTGTTGCCTCGTACGACACTCATGGGATGATATGGGGCAATGGATATTCTTACACCGCCACTACACATTCAAAATATATCGTCTAAATATTTTTCATAACTTTATTTCATTTTTCAGTAATGTAACTACGTTAACCTCTCAGCCCCCAAGCGGTCGAATTCGACCGCGGCGCTATTTCGTCAAAATTTAAGCGATCGAATTCGCACCCACCCACAACACTTTAAACCATTAAAACTTATATTTAGAGACTACTTTTCTATGAAGAAGTTTGACATTATAGAATCAATATGAAATTTTCTATCCTCTAGTGCAATAAAAAGTCAAGTTATCTTATGGATAATTATTTATAATCTACGTTAATTTCGTACGCCATTTTCGCGTGAATGTTATTGTATTGATTTTTGGATTTTTCTAGTGTTTTAGTATAGTATTTTATTATAAAATTGTAATGAAAGTTTTTGTGTGAATATAATTTGTCTTTTTACGTAAATAATTTCCAGTAAATATTGAAATAATTGTGATTTTCACGCCTCCGGCATTCGCTTGGTATGTTTTGTTTTTGTTATCAAAATACAAGTCTTTTTGTAATGAAGTAAAACCTGACTTATATAGAGAATTTTGTATAGATTTTATAATGCCAAACTTCTTTATAGAAAAGTAGTCCTAAATAACTTAATAGTTGTTAATTACTGCGGGTGGGTGCGGTTGCATGCGACCGAACGGGATTTGCGGTGCGCATACGACTGCATCGAATTTTTATGGGGATCGAAGGGTTAATAATAATTTTAAAATATAACTGTTTTGATGGATGTTATGGTTTTGTATTTCCAAAATTTATTTGTGTTTAAGTAAATTCTATTGCGTTACTACTAACGATGATAGCTTTCATAACATCGTAATGTCGAGCGTCCTTCATCATTTAATTTAATGCTGACAATGATTTGTTTTGCTGATTTGTAAATGACTACTAAAAAGACATTCCAATTATAACAGTGTCGTATCTGCATCTGCATTTTTATTATTGTGCCATTTCACGAATTTCGTTTTCGTTCACGAATTATTTACTGAGATTTCTGGTGCATAGCTACGGGCCGCGGGGCAGTGCCCCGGGGCCCTCTAGCTCTGCGGGTCTTCGAATCCTTACCAGAAAATCTTTCGACTTTAATAAAAAAGGTGGTATCAAGAAGACTCAGTTCCTCCCCATTTAAAATTACATTAGTATTAACATGTTTGACATTAGGAGTTACGAATTTCATACATTTAGTTTTAGTTCCACTTAAATGCAAATTATTAACATTAAACCAATTGACTAACTAAGCTATAGCATTATTTACTTTGCCGTTATTTAATAACTGTCGTTTTAATTTGAAAATTAATGAAGTAATATCAGCAAATAAAACTATATCATGGTTATCCCTTACTATGTAAGATAAGTCATTTATATATACAAGAAACAGAAAGGGGCCGAGAATTGAGCCCTGAGGCACGTCCATTTGTACAATAGACACGGATGAACTTATACTATTAATGACAACTTTTTGCGTTCTGTCACTTAAATATGAAATAATTAATTTAAGAGCATCACTTCTAATACCGTAGTTTCCTGATTAATGTTTCATGGTGAACACAATCGAAGGCTTTAGATATGTCATAGAATACACCCAAAGCATCCTGTGAATTCTCCCATCCACTAAAAATATATTTAATCAGCTCAACACCAGCATCGGTATCGAGCGACCCCTTGTGAAACCGAATTGGTTTTTATGAAGTAAATCATTAACATTAAATAAATTTAACATTTGATCAAAAATAATTTTTTCGAAAATTTTATTAAGTGGACAGTACAGACATAGGTCTAAAGTTAGCGGGGTCCAATGTACTAACAGATTTAAATAAAGGTATTACTTTACTATGCTTCATTAAATTAGGAAACACACCAGATTCGATATACTAGCATTAAAAATAATGCATAGTTGAGGTACGATTGTATCTATTATAGACGAAATAAATTTAACGGAAATCCCCCACAGATCGGCGGTTTTCTTAATATCAATAGTCTTAAAATATTTAACAATATCTTTTGATGACACTTTATGAAGTGTAAAATTCTTTGTACACGCATTTACATTTTGTTTAAGTAATGATTCGGCGATGATAAATATCTCACCCCGTACCTCAGAAAGCACATAAATTTTTTTTGGTCCTCCGCCTGATCTCTTTGCGGTAGTGTCTGTCTGACAATGAGTGTGAGTTAATAGAGAGTGCACTGGCGCTTGCGCACTATAACCCTGTATAATCCCGTCTTGCGCCGATGGTTTGTCTTTGTTGAGACCGGAATCCGTGACCGAAATTCGGTCTGAAGGACATTAATACTAAATATTTTGTGTTAATATTAATCCAGTTTGATCTAACTATATTATTAACCTTATTCGAAATATAAAACTCACTGACTTATTTTAGTACTGTCCATATGCACAATTATTTAGGGGGATATAGTAACTCGGCTCGAATTCTAATTTCGCCCCTACTTCCCCGCGCGGCGTATGCTATGTACCGACATGTTTGTAATCACTAATACTTCAAGTAGATAGGTCGTTAGATACTTATTTAATTACGTTTATCATATTTATGCCTGTTTCTTTACGCCAACCCAGTCGCTTCCTATTTTTATTACGGTTATTTTCCATTTTAATTTTACCTCGTCCTGTTGCGTAATGTGTATTCTGATCGTAAGTGACATAGCTTCCCCGTTCAAATGCCGAAGCGAGACTAACCGGGCGGCAGGAAACAAGCTTCAAGACGCGGATAGTTTAGGTAATTTCTTTTTACAATGAAAATAATGGTAATAATAAATAACATAAGCCATGCTTTATAGTTACTTCAGTTAGTATGCAAAGTTTCATGATCTAATTTAAAGTATTTTATAAATAACAACGGTTTGTTGTTCAGTTTGGAGGTAACTTTGGATTTTTTTTCTATCGAGAAAATTTTACGGAATCGTGTATTCGTCTAACATAGTACTTAACATTAATCCTCAACTTTACCATATATTTATTTCAAAATTAATGCTGCAATATTTTCGGCATAACGGAGGATCTTGCTAAGCCATTTGAGGTAGTAGGTATTTTTTCTATTTCCCCTTAAGTCTCATGTTGATCTGCGACATAAGTCGCGACCCACGTTTATCTGGGATATATAAAAAAGAATGGAAAACCGTGTTGCCATCATCTGGATGTTTGATAATCCACTACTGTGCGATTTACTAGGAGTGTTTCCTCCTCACTCGATTTCTTTGTGGAATTGTTTACCACCGACAATTTTTCCAGACCGATACCACTATGGGACCTTTATGAAACGAACTTACTCCCTTTTGAAAGGCTGGCAATGTACTTGCAATTCCACTGGCGCTGCAGTTGGTCATGGGTGGTGGTCAACACCTGCCATCAGGTGTCACGTGCTCTTTTGCCCCCTCTTCTATAAAAAAAACCTACCTAGCATGTAAAAGGTGAACTAATGGGATATTTGGTGTGTGTAGGTGTAGGCGTTGGGCTCACCGATACTCATATGCATGCACACATGCAATGGTGCTGCGACAGCTTTACATTTCGGCAGGATTGTCCATGTGTATTTACAACAGTATTATCCACAGTTGATGAATATTGGATTTATCAATACAATCCAGAAACGTAGTGCAATAATCGACGGTTTGCCTGTTTCAAAATGAGCCAACGCCTATCTTGATAGTTAGTTTTTTATTTTGACAAGATACATCTACCTACTACGAGAAATGCTTGTCAGAAGTGGTCAGAAGTGTTACTACTGTACTGTAAGCAAGACGCTCCCGAATACGGGGCTCCACACTAGAGCTGGGCAGAAACGCCTTTTGTAAAAAACGAGACAAAACAGTTTTTAGACAAGAAAAAAACGGTTTCAAGAAACTGTTTTTTAAAAAACGCATTCTTATTATTAACTTCAGCCGGACGTACGATGTCCATCTAAGAAAAAACAGTTTTTATTTCTACATATATTTGTTAAGGAAATATCAGCGTAGTGATGATAGACCTAAGATATAAATTACAAGATTACAAGAAATGCGACGTTCCGCGATGGAACGTCAGTTCGCTCCGTATTGCATTTTAAATGCTGTTTGTGAAAGGAGTAAGCGCAATAGATAATATCCTTGTTCCTTCTTTCGTACGAGGACGAGTAATACTAAAACTGTTTTTTCGTAAAACTGTTTCTGCCACAATCAACTTACTGGTTGTAATGGTCTGTGCTGGTTACTCATTTCATTCATTTCGTCCGGCGACGTACGTTCCACAGTTTTGTTTTATTTCTAAGAACTGGTTTGTGAACAAACAAGAAAAAGTAAAACTGTTTCAGAAAACAACGCCCAGTCCTACTCCATACTCCGCAGTCTAGGGTAGACTGCGTACGGTTGAAACATTTTAACGTTTATCGTCCATTGCATCGGGATTAGTTAAGCGAGCGATGAAAGAAATATATTAAATAAAAGAACATATATCTGTTTAATAATGATGATGAATGAAGATACATAGAGATGCAACGTCTCTCCACAAGGCCAGTGGATCAAGTCAATCGGAAAGAACTTGATCGTCATCGGAGCCGCTCTTCGTTGAATACGGTCAAGTGGAAGGAGCTAACACTGGGGTGCCCCGACTCAGAGATGAAAACAGTTTTTCATATGAGGCCGTGCATAATCCGCGCTTTATAAAACTGCAAGCGGTGTTCCGGCATGAAATACCGTCTCGATCTACCGAGCATACTAAGCTTTTTTGATGCCAGTTTAGCCTTCCCTCCAAGTGACTAGGTACGAAACTATACGCCGTATAGTATATGGTATACGTTCCTCGAAATGTCGATGGCAAGGATTCCGATGCTGGCTGAGGTAACGAGAGGAGTGCCCCGAAATCGAGGAGATACGACATAGTTTTCTATATTGCGGTAAATGCGCAAACTTGTGTCTTTTGAGGGTTAAATTTAGTCACCCCAAATCCGAGACTGTTTAATAAAGACTCGACATCAGACACAAGTTTGTTCAACACTCGACGATTTGTGTTCCTGACAAATATTAGCACGGCCGGTGGATAAGGTATCGCCAGTGCTGTCGTCTGCACAACAATGAAAGTTACTAGTATGCAACATATTGATTTGTAGAAGAAACAGGGTAGGTAGCACGCAGCCTTGTGGCCACCAGCTTTCACAGGCTTGGACTCGGAGCATGCACTGTCGACTATGTCCTTTACTCTGATTTCTAAGAAAACTGGTGACTCAATTGCATAATTTTTCGGGAATCCCATAAAAGGGAAGATTCGAAGGAAGCACTTTGTGCCAAACCCGATCGAAGGTCCTCGCTATGTCCACTAACCGCTATGTCCGCCCCTTGGTCTCGATTGCCTCAGCCCATCGGTGAGTCAGGTATTAACGGTCACAAATCAGCTCTCTCTCTCTTCAAGGTAAACTTCAAGGTTCAACTCTTCAAGATACTGCACGATATTGCAGCTAGTAATGAATTCCATTATTTTGTAGACTAGAATAAGGAGGTGATAGCGATAGGCCTGTACTTGGACGGGTCCGAGCGGTAACATTTTTTAATGATCGCGTGCACTAAAGCTAACTTTCATGGGCCTGGAACGATCTGCCAACTTTGGAGCACACGTCTTTAGCACAATTGGGGGATCCCATGAGGCCCATTCGACTTGTTCACGTCTAAGGACAGGAGCGCTATTCGCACTCAGCGCTGTGGAAACAACATATCCTGCATGGATTGCGGGACGATTGGCTGTATGTTCCCCCCATTGTCGAGATGCAAAGTAGATCCTTAAAGTTTGGCTTTCTCATTTGCGACGTGCCAAGCGAGTCAACCTCTTTGCGCAAAGATGGTAATGATGGCTTACTGAAATTTCCTTGGGCAGCCTTGGCGAGGGATAAGAAGACACGAGTTCCCGAAGGAAAGCGAACTAGTTTCTTGTCAATTTTTTTATTATTAAAAAAATAGAATATTAACAATGTTATAAACATTACCAATATTCTCCTTAACCACTCGTCGTAAGCTTAAATTGCTTGTGTTACGAGTGGTTCACGCCAGTAGTCGAATGGCGGATTCGAACCTTTTTGAGTTCGCGTTACGCACCCTGCCATTAGGCTACTGTCGCTTACAAATTCTCCCGATGTGCTCCGACTGAAAACCTGACTGAAAGACCTGGAGGCAGAGTTATACGTCTTTTTGAGTGCGCTAATGGTCCTGCTTTTTTCGCGACGCAATTTTGCGGTAAGTCTAAACCAAGGCTGGGATATGCCGCTGATAGACACTAAAGATTACTGAACGAAAATTTCCATTCCCTGAAGTACCACATCGGCGACAGACTCAGTAACGAATTTTTTGAGGTCGTCTAGCGAGAAGCTAATTCACCCCCATGGGTAGGATGCAAAAAAAACCCACATCCAATCCCAATCCACTGACTTATAGTGCTAAACATGGCGGCAGCCTACATTACAGCCCATCCCAAGTCCACTTCTGAACATTACTTACACAACCTCCCCTCAAAGAATGCCACAAAATACGACCCTGAGCCACCGGCATCCATCAAATTCCTGTACCTCTTATCAAGTTTACACTCCATTTGGTGGGGGCCACCTAATTATTTTATTCATTTACCTTTACTTTTTTGGTTAGCTATTAGTGTACTTTAGTACTCTTATTAATTTGTGCTATTAGTGCATCTTTTGGCGATACAACGTTTTTGAACGATGCGCTGTCATTCTGACATTTAATTGTTGTCAACAACAAGTTATATTGTGAAGATGGCGACGACCGGAGTTGGTTTTCGATGGTTAGATATTTTAGAAAAAGAGTTCGATAAAGCATGTGTGGAACTTGATACCTCTATTTGTGAGTACTCTATTAATTTATGAGTAATATTGCAAAACTGTTGTATATACAATGTTTAAAAGCCATTTGAATTAAATGCTTTCAATCTCAGAATAACAAAAAAGTTCAATAGTTAATAATGTAGATTCAGCTTAGACCATCTAAGAGATTCGGGGAAACTATATTTTATTAGTGTTTTCTATGTATTTGTTGCTGGCAGAGAGACAAATATTATTTAGTTATATTGTCATTTAAAGTAAGTCGTAGGAAACGTTGCCATATGAGGGCATAGATTTACTGGGAACATTCAAATTTCAGCGCACTTAGAAAAAGAAGATGCTGAGGTGGTGTTTTCTGCTCGCCAGAAAGTTGCAACTCTCAGCTCCTGTTTTGCTCAACTGACTCATAAAGCTCTTACTATTTTTCAAAACAGTGCCAAATTGGAGGTATGTGAATATTTATGTATTATACATAAGTGCTTATTATTTAATAACTTGTACATAAGCTTGTGGTTGCCGAGTTGTAGATCATTTGTCTGCCAAAGTGAACATTTTTGTTTAATATACACTATTTTGTTGACTTGTTGTGCTCATAGTTGTTTTACTATGCCCTTACATTATGTGAAGACTCAGACTTGTTCATAAATATTAACAATAATATCAAAAAAATTTAACAATAAAAAGAACTAATAACTACCTTTATTTACCGGCATTAATAAAAGTCCTTACAGGCTTATGGACACTTCATTTCAATTTTTAACAATATTTTAATACTAAATTTTAAATAAAAAAGAAAATAATAAGAAATCATTAAAATATAAGCTGAACTTAATACAAGAAAATTGAATTTTTTACTTAACTTACTCGTTTATATGTACAGAAGTGCCTCGATAATCCATACCCAAGCTAGTCTGAATGCCTTTATAATCCGAATGACCTTCTGCCCCTGCGCAGCTGCTGCAGTTTCTTAGTAACTTGCTATGCCACATGTATATTTTATTGCCGAGTTAAAGTTTTGGACGCTATATGTATTTGACCGCTCCGTTCGCCATTCCGCCATTTTGTTGTGCATTTGACATGGCTTCAACAACCAAGAAAAGAAAACGTGATGCTTACAATTTCACAGAAGTACGAGATTTTGGACAAGATTAAGGAAGGCATCTCATTAACATTTCTTGCACAGCAATACAACATTAGAAAGTCGACTATTACAGACATCAAAAATAAAGAGGCAAAAATAAGGTCATTTGTAATTAATACAGAAAAGGGTCCAGGTGCAAGAAAAACATTAAAAACTTCGGAAAATCCTCAGCTTGAAGATGCATTATTTACATGGTTCTTAGAGCAGTAAAGAAATAATGTCCCTTTTACAGGTGAAATCCTAATGGATAAGGCAAAATTTTTCCACGAAAGACTTGGAAGAGTAGCCTTCATTGCTAGCAGAGGATGGTTGAACATTTTTAAGAAAAGACATGGTATATGACAGTTTAAAGTAATTGGTGAAAAATTGTCAAACAATGAAGCGGCGGTGCAGCCATTCCAGGAGAAGTTATAAGGGAAAAGGATTTGTCTGCAGACCAAATATATAACGCTGATGAGTCAGGCTTGTACTGGAAATCCATACCAGACGAAACCCTAGTGTCTATATCAGAAACTAGTGCCCCAGGTGCCACAGTGTCAAAAGAGAGGATTACATTTATGCCATGTGCACAGAGGCCACATGCTTTATCAACAGTCAAAAAGTTATCAGTTCATTACACAGGACAAAGAAATGCTTGGGTTAGAAGACGAATATTTTTAGAGTGGCTGAAGGATATTATTCCCGAAGTAAAGAAAATTTTGGCAAGAGAAATTACCGCTAAAAGGACTTTCACTGCTTGATAATGCACTAGCTGTTATGTACGTGCCACCCAATTGCACAGCCCTTATTCAACCCTGGACCAAAATGTAATTCAGAACATTAAAATAAATTACAAGAAAAAACTCCTGTTGCAAGTTTTTGGCCTCCAAGAAGTAGATCCAGAATGCTCAGTATCTGAAGTCCTTAAAAAGACTACAATGAAAGATGCAGTATTTTCACTTGCTCAGTGTTGGCAGCAATTGTCTCCACATCTTATTAAAAAATCCTGCAAGCCTTTATGGCCCTTGAATCGGAGGACATTTCTGGCCAAGAAAAGGGAAATTTTGAACCTGAAGATGACTTACCATTAAGCATTTTTCGTAACAGAGGCTTCTCAGAATCAGAGATTAATAATTTCTTGGTAAACAATCATGATATTGATTGTCAAGGGCCCTTAATTGATGAGAACATAGTGAGGCAAATAACAAATGAGCATGACATCAAAAATGATGACAAGTTGGAATCTGCACCAGTCGCAAGGGTTTCACATACGCAAGTTGTGTCTGCCTTAAACAGAATGGGCAAATAAAATCGACATTTCTATACCAGAAAAAATGCTTTTACATAAATTAAGTGATAATGCGTTTTCAATGACGCTAAAAACTAGCCATCATAGTACTTTATTAGAATTCTTCAAGAAAGTGTAAACATATGTAGGTATATATGTAATAGCACTAATAGTATCATTCTATACATATCAGTTTTGAGTGATTAAAGAATAGTTTAGATAATAAACAGTATTGTTTAGTTGCTAATATATCTTTTAAAATGCCTACATACTATAATTCGAAAGCTTACATACGTCTGAACAGGGTATAAATTTTGGGCGTTCGGATTATGGAGGCCATACTGTATATATATGAATATTTTCTATTTTTTTATAATTACCTGTGTCCAAAATGTGTTGACAAATTTTTCAGTGAAGCATGACGTTAGGTTTGTCTTTATTGTGGAGTGACATATAGCCTAATACGTCAGCTAACGTAGACACTTCATCTTTAAAAAAATTACAAAAATAGAGGAACATACAGATTATGTTAAGATACAAATTGTAAACCACCACTTCCTGCTTAGATATATAATAGTGTGGGCAAGAATATTACAATTATTCAAGCAATGAAATTTTGAAGAAGTTCAAGAGTCCTTTGATGTTGCAAGCAACTTCTGTAGTGATTCCGGCATGCTAAGATGTTAACTCCTGTATGCAGCAATCTCTGGACATGCCAGCCAAAGTGGCCCGCTGTTTCCTCCTCCCCCATGCATGCTTTACTAGGGGACTATCTGTTATACCAATGGTAAATAAATGTTTTTTTAAAATAACCATGTCCTGTAATAGCACTTGTTGCTAACCTGATCTGTGGCTTGCTCAATCTCATTAAGACCATGGTTGAACAACTATTTATTCCTGGCAGGATTTCCTAGCTTGCCTACTCTTCTAGATTATCCATATCTGAGCGTGTAAGTTAGTGAAGCTTTTACATACCAGTCAATAAACATTGCCTGGTATGTAAAAACTTCACTAACTAATAATAAATATGAAGGGATCAGTATGATACGGTTTAAGCTCTATAGCACCTAGAGACGATCCTCTCGTGGCCAGTTTATCTGCTTTGTTGCATCATTAAAAGTTCCGTAGAAACAACTATGCAGGCTTTGGAGGAAAAAATACTGGGATTAGGGTTAAGTTATGAATCCATTTATAAAAATAAACAAAATCTTGAAAGCTAGATTGTAGGTATGGATAAATCTACCAGTTAATGTAAGATTTTATCCAGCAGTAGTGGAATTTAAAAGTTTGGTCATTATTGATTACCAGCTTCTTAAAGTTGTAATATGGATATCACCTAGTATTGCATTTTACTTTTTAATGTTAACCTATTTGATAATAAAAAAATATTTATGTTGTAGAATTTTTTTTAAGTTTTTACGGCTTTACTATATGACAGAGCCATACTGAAGCTATATTATTGTTTGTAGCATGAATTGGTCAACTCAACCAGGGAAGGACCACGCTCATACAAAATACCAGCATGAATATGACTGTCAAGGAAGGGTTATGTTTTTCGCGCGATCTTGTATGTTTGTAAATTTCTTTATTACCTCATATCTTCCAAACAGCTGGATGAATTTCGACAATTAAGGTATCATTTTACTCGTCTTAATAGTGTTCTTAGATAGTTTTTATTTAAATAAACAAAATGGGGATTTTTGTCGCAAAATAGTAATACGTTAATAAAAAATTGAACCAAACCTATCGAATAGGATATTGTTGCGCGCCTAAGTTGACGTCTGGCACTAGCGCCATCTAGTGTCGGGTAACAGAGGCCAACAGAGGCCCGTTGGTTGAAAGAGCAGCAGGAGGACGAAGAAGGACAGCTATCCCTTGCCAAGAATTGATGACACGCTGGACTTGCTTACAGGAGTAAAGTGGTTTAGCACGCTGGATCTTAAAAGTGGCTACTGGCAAGTTGAAATTGATCCTAAGGACAAGGTAAAAACTGCGTTCTCGACGGGAAAGGGTCTGTGGCAATTTAAAGTAACGCCGTTTGGATTGTGCAATGTTCCAGCAACGTTTGAAAGACTGATGGAGCTTGTACTTACCGGGCTAATTGGCGATGCCTGTCTGGTCTACTTAGATGACATCATCATCGTGGGCCGTACGTTTGAAAAACACCTTCAAAACCTGGAACGCATGCTCATGAAGATTCAGAGTGCGAACCTCAAGTTGAGTCCGAAGAAATGTTCATTATTCAAACGGCAAGTCAACTTTCTGGGGTATGAGGTGTCGGAAGAAGGTATCCGCACGGATCCGGAGAAAATCGCCGCTGTTAAGGATTGGCCGGTTCCAAAGACAAGACGCAGGTTAGAGCATTTTTGGGTTTGTGCTCCTATTATCGGCGATTTGTGAAGAACTTTGCAGATATAGCCAAACCTCTGCACAATCTAACCGAGGAGAAGCGACATTTCTGCTGGGATGAAAGTTGCAATATCGCATTCCAGGAGCTCAAGGACCGTTTGTGCAAAACACCTATTTTGGGATATCCTGATGCAAGCAAAGAATTTATAGTTGTCACAGGCGCAAGTGATATAGGACTTGGCGGTGTGTTGTCTCAACGGAATGGTGACCAAGAGGTCGTGATAGCGTACTTCAGCAAGTCGTTGTCAAAACCGGAAAGGAACTATTGTGTCACAAGACGCGAGTTGCTAGCTGTGGTAAAGTCGTTGCAGCATTTTAGCAAATATCTTCTGGGACGAAAATTTCACTTAAAAACTGACCATGCTGCACTAAAATGGCTATTGCAGTTTAAAAATCCAGAAGGACAGGTTGCGAGGTGGATTGCACTACTGCAGGAATATGACTGAGATCGAACATCGCAGCGGGAAATCTCACGGCAACGCAGATACATTGTCAAAAAGACCTTGTCCTGAAGATTGCAAACATTGTACTAGGCAAGAGAGTAAGGAAGTGGTATCCGTGAGGATACTCAGGACAGACCACCTCAGCAACGAGTGGAAGGACAGCTTACAACGTGCACAGCAGGAAGATCCGGACATCAAGCCGATTCTGCAATGGATGAAGGCCAGTGCTCCCAAGCCCAAGTGGAGCGATGTCTCAGCGATGAGTTCGACCACTAAAAGCTATTGGGCCCAGTGGGACAGCTTGCTGCTTCAGGATGGAGTTCTGTTCCGTAAATGGGAAAATGTTCGGGGAGACAGCTGACATTTGCAAATGGTTGTCCCTAAAGCTAAAGTACCGGATGTTCTACAGCTGTACCATAATGATTGTTCAGGAGGCCATCTGGGAGTTAAACGAACTCTACTGAAGATCCGAGAACGGTTTTACTGGGTCCACTGTCGAAACGATGTCGAGGACTGGTGTCGCAAATGTACAAGTTGTGCGGCTGTAAAGGGACCTCAGACTCGTAGTAGAGGTGCGTTTAAGTTGTACACTGTTGGTGCACCATGGGAGAGAATAGCCATTGACGTGGCGGGGCCGTTTCCGGAGAGTGAAAGCGGTAACAAGTATTTCATGGTTGTGATGGATTACTTCGCTAAGTGGCCAGAAGTCTTCGCCATTCCAAATCACGAAGCTTCAACAGTTGTATATAAACTAGTTCATGAAGTCTTCTGTCGTTTTGGAGTACCTTTAGAGATTCACAGCGATCAAGGAAGGAATTTTGAGTCTCAAATATTCCAAGAAACTTGCCGAGTTATGGGTACTCATAAAACAAGAACGACTTCTTATCACCCGCAATCTGATGGAATGGTAGAACGATTTAATCAGACATTGGAGAGGTACCTAGCAAAAGTTGTAGACAATCGGCAACGAAATTGGGACAAGCACATACAACCGTTTTTGTTGTCATATCGAAGCGTTGTTCACGAAAGTACATCAGTGACACCAGCTTTCGCAAACTTTGGAGGAGAATTACGGCTGCCTGCAGACCTGATCACCGGTATACCACCTGATGCCCCACGCAGTAC